AGTCTGGGAAGTGTAAAGAGGGAGAGGAATGTGGAGTCTTAGCCTTTCCCAGATCCATGTGCCCCATGCTTGGCCTGCGGTAGCTGCTCACTCAGCAGCACATTTAATGATGCATCTGGCCAGAAGTGGTGTCTCTTCTGTGAGCAGGAGTTGGAAGCTGGATTCCTGCAGGGCCTGTTTGATGTCTGCCTGTTGCCTCATGTCACCTCCTTACCTTCTTAACCTTTTTCTAGAAAGGATTTGGCTACAAAAACAGCAAATTCCATCGTGTGATCAAGGACTTCATGATCCAGGGTGGAGACTTCACCAGGGGAGATGGCACAGGAGGTAACCTCAGGTTCTCCGGGCAGAGGAGTATGTCGGTGTAGCCTCCGAGGTGGGAGGGCTGGGCTGTGTTGGGTAGACAAGGCCTCTTCCTTCCCCGGCTCCAGAGGCAGGCCTGTTACCTGCAATGAGACCAGCTGTACCCTTTTTTGTAGAGGAAACCCAATACAAAGGAGAGGCAATAATGGAGGTCAGGTGGACCTCAGCAGATTACTCCCAGGTGGCAGACCTGTTTGATCCAGGCCTACAGCCTGAGACTTTTCTCCTGTATCTCTTTGGGATGGGGGGATGGGGGGTTGGGGGGTGAGGTGGAAACAAAGTGAAGACGTGGGTAGGCGATTCTAGGTCAGACATGCAATGCTTATGCAGCTGCCTTGGAATCCCCAGCAAGGGTGGGAGAAACTGCTTTCCTTGGCAGTCTCACCAGAGACCACTCCACAAGGGCTGACTGAGGCTTGCCTCTGTGTTACTTGTACACATAGGACAGAAAGACAGATACTCTGGACTAACCCATGGGTCTCACTGTGCTCAGGTGCACAGCCTGCCCTTGCCTCAGACCACAGCTGCAGTTGGAGAACAGCTCACCCCACCAGTGATTTTCTTGGGCCAGGCTCTGCAGTGGGTGCTGAGGATGTAATGATCAGTGGGGCAGCGGCTCCCTTTCACTTCCAACCCAAAAACTCACAAGTGGGTCATAATACGGCTTTTAGGACTCAGGCTCTGTCTCCAGGTTGTAATAGCTAAAGGCAACAGGTGAACAAGAAGGCACAAAGCAGACCTAATACAAAAACTGTTCGTGGCATCAGACACAGTTAGGTTTGATTCAGTGTCTGTCACCTTCTTGCTTGGTGACCTCAGGCAAGTGAGTCCGTGTAATAGCTAAAGGCAACAGGTGAACAAGAAGGCACAAAGCAGACCTAATACAAAAACTGTTCGTGGCATCAGACAGTTAGGTTTGATTCAGTGTCTGTCACCTTCTTGCTTGGTGACCTCAGGCAAGTGAGTCCTTGGAGCTTCAGTTTCCTCTCCCGTAAGGTGGGAATGGAAAGAGCTGTGGGAATGCAAAGAGCTGTGGGTGCTGTGAGGATTGAGCGAGATCTTGAGTGTTAAGTGCCTGGCATGTGGTGAGCGCTCAGCAGTCCGCCTTGTTGAAGGGCTGACAAGCAGAGGAATCACTTCAGGCCCAGGTGATCAGGAAATGGCCTTGTGAATGTGAGGCAAGATTTGAGCAGAGTCCTAGATGGAGAGAATTTGAATGGCAGAGAAGAGGCAGGGTTAAGGTGTGAGCCCTGCTCTGTTGTGTGGCAGGAGCCTGGCCAAAGGTGGGCTGGGGGAGTGGAAGTAGACCACACACCGGGAGTATAGAGAGGGGGGATGGCCAGGAACCTGGGGACGGAGGATCCAGCGAACACTTGAGTGAGAGGATGACTCAGTCACAAAGGGGTTTCAGGAGCAATAATATGGCAGGATTCAGGATGTGGAGTCCAGAGCAAGCAGGCTGCTGAGGAGATTGGTGCAGCTGTGCCCGGGTAGGGTGATTTGGGCCTGAACCCAGGAGGGTATAGCGCAGCGGATAAGAGCCGAGATTCAAGAGCCAGGCTACCTTGGTTTGAATTCCAGCTCCACTGCTTCCTAGCTATGGTGCCTTTAACCTCTCTGTACCTAATTTCTTCATCTTTGAGACAGGGTTATTAGCTTCTGCCCTGTAGGGTGGATAATTATATCTGTAAAATGCTTCAGACAGTCTCTGGTACACACTGTTAATGCTCTAAGCATTCGCTGTTATTGCAGTAGGGGTAGCAGGAATGGAAAGCAAGGATGAATAAATGGGGGTGGGTAGAGACATCTGCACACAGTGAGTGTGCAGAGGAAATGTTATCAAAAGAATAATTGAAATCTGGAGGGAAAGATGGCGTATGTGGAATTTAAAGTGAAGAACTACCCATTTATGTTTGGAACTCCTTGTGTCTTGGGAAAGTGATTGCAGCTAAAGATGTAGTCTTGAGGGTTTTCTGGGTAGAAGCAATAATTGAAATCCTGCAGTTGGTTGAGATTTACGAAAAGGATTCTTAAATGGTGGGAATCATTGCACGATGGTGCCAGAGTCTAATCTTTCCCCGGTGTGGGGGTGAGAGGTGGACACAGGCTAAAGCACCCCCGCTGCCAGCTGGCGTCTAGCCATTCTTGGTTCTCAGTCTCCCCACCTGCTGCACAGTCAGAAACATCTCCCTGGTTAGCATCAGTGTAGGACAGTTTCTTAGCTTGGTTCCATCCTGTGGAACCACAGGATGAATGTAGGTGCATTGAGAAGGGAAACAGTGTTTCATATGCAAGTAAGTTTGAAAGATGTTGGGAAGGACAAAATGAAACTGACTTCTTTATTGCAGGGTTTGTTGGGGCATTTAGTACATTAACATACATTGTCAATTTCAAAGAGGTGACAGGGGAAAAGAAGGGTTCCAGTGTTTCTCCTGGAACTGGCTTTGGAACTAGGATCTGTGAAATAGTGTAGAGATACATTCCCTTTGTCATGTCCCCTGGCCCCAAACCCCACATGGACAGACAGACTACACACATTCATAGGCTCCTTTTATTTTGTGCTCATTCCTTGGTAAAAGGAGGCTTTGACTTTCCAGAACCTAAACAGCATCCCCTCTCTTTGGCTTCTCCCTGCCCGTCCCCATCCTTCTCTCTCTGCTTTCTGCTTTGCAGCTGTGTCTGTGTCTTTTGTGCTCTTAGGAAAACAAGTTGGCCAGACACACCACAGCACAACACCTCTCTCCACCAAAGTCCCTGCATGGCAGACCTCAGGCTGTAGCCAAGGGTAGCTGGTAGTACGTACCTTATTTAAAAGCCATAATATTTTACTCTCAAAGTAATCTGTCATGTGAGCTGTTCACTAAATCAGCCTGGCCTGTATCCCTCTTGGTCTCAGTCAGTATGGTTTGGCTCTAAGGCCAGAGGATAGAAAAGGGGCAGATTTTATGTCCTTGTACTCCACTCATGCCTAGCCTGGCACAGAGGACAGGTTGAACCCCTTGAATCTTCACCCCAAAGATCTGCTTGGTTTGAGCAAACCAGTTCCCCCAACCTACTCTGTCTTCCCAGGAAAGAGCATCTATGGTGAACGCTTCCCTGATGAGAACTTCAAGCTGAAGCATTATGGGCCTGGCTGGGTGAGCATGGCCAATGCAGGCAAAGACACCAACGGTTCCCAGTTCTTCATCACTACAGTCAAGACGGCCTGGCTAGACGGCAAGCACGTAGTGTTTGGCAAAGTCCTGGAAGGCATGGTGAGTTCTGGAGGCAGGGGCTAAACCTGGGCAGTCCTCACCAGGCGTCTGACACAGACCCTGCAGGAGAGGCTCCACGTATTTCATTTCCTTCCCAAAAGAACCCAACCCACAGAGTCAAACCAGGGCTCATGTTTCTTTTTTTTTTTCCTTTTTGTCTTTTTTTCGTGTCCGGCAACGGATCGCAACCCTCGGTGTTGCACCCGCACCTCGCTCAGCCAGTGAGCGGGAACCGGTCTGTATGTGGGATCCGAACCCTCGGCGGGAGCGCCACCACACTCCCAAGCGGCGCACTGTAGCAGTGCACCACCGGGCCGGCCCAAGGGCTCATGTTTCTTGACCTGGGGGTAGTGAAGAAAAAACAGCCTGCATCTCCATGTCCCCAAGCCAGGCAGCCTTGTTGAAGCTACACAACTGCAGCAACCTCCATTCCATCATTCACTTAGACAGTGATGTGCTGGCACCCACCCCTGAGTTGTACACGGTACAGCTGAACAAGATGTCCCTGAGTGGCCACTTGACACCACACTCCCCAGCCACCCTCTTCCTCCTCCTCACCCTTGGCCCAACCTGGGTCTACTCCAAAGGAACAAAACTCCTGCCTCCCCTTATTGTCAGATATGGGTTCTCCCTGCACTGGCACTCTGGCCAAGAGTCTGTTAGAATTTGGGGCCTCAACGTTTGCGGGCTTTTGATCACAAGGGGGTCTCAGCCCTTTGGAGCCATATGCTGGATCTCTTGAGCCACCCTTCCTCCTCCTTCCTCCTTTCCTTCCCAGGAGGTGGTGCGGAAGGTGGAGAGCACCAAGACAGACAGTCGGGACAAGCCACTGAAGGATGTGATCATCGCAGACTGTGGCAAGATCGAGGTGGAGAAGCCTTTTGCCATCGCCAAGGAGTAGGGCCCGAGGGACCTTTCCCTCTGAGCGACCATCTGTGCAGGCCTTGTTGCCTTCCTGGGGGTGAAGACAGTCCGCCACAGGGCTCCGTGCTGCACTGGCCCTAGTGCTGGCACCTGATGGAGCGGACCTACAACCCTCACATTCCACAGGCCCCGGGCCCAGTTTTGTAACAAACTCCTACCAATGCTGACCAATAAAAAAAATGGATTTTTTATAACCTGCATGTGGGCTGGGTTCTCGGGCCCACAGCACCTCCCTGAAGTCTACATCTCCATGTCTGGGACTCTCCTGTGGCAGTGGATGCCTGCCCCATCCTTGGGCTGCCTGCCCAAACCTTTACCATAGATGCTAACCACAAAAAGTGGAGATTTGCTCCTTGCTTCTAAACTTTGCCAGCTACTGCACCTCAATCTTGCTCCCGCTGCCGCCTTCTTCTGGTCTAGGTTAAGAAATAATCCCTGTACGTTTTCATAGCCTTTCTCTAAACTTTCTCTCTTTATTCCTTGTTGCCTTGGCCCTGCCTTGGCCCTCAGGCTCTAAGAGCACATAGGTTCTACCACCCCCAACCAAGTTTGAGCTTTGAATGGGGATGGGGCACAACTGAGCCTTGGTTAAGTACTGGGTCCAGGCCAATGGAGGACCTAGCCTTTATATGAAGCTCACATGACTGTCCTGGCAGGTGGCCCAGAGGCCTCGGGGCTGATCAGGGAATCAGTGGCAGAGAAGCAGGGTGACAGGCAGCCTTTGACTGCGCTTCAGCTGGGCTGATGCTGAAACCATAGAGGCCCTGGAGCACACCATCCACCACCACGTTGGGCAGAGGTTCTGTGGGATAGAGGCAAGCAGGAGGAAGGGGTGAAGGGCTGTGGGGAGGAGGAAGCATGGGACAGGTCTGGCTGTAGGCCTGCAGCACCCTAGGCTCCTGTCTACAGGCTCAGCCTCCCTCTGGAGTAGGAGCCCCTGCCAAGGCAACAGATAACAGCTGTCCACCCCAAGTGAGGCCTTGGCATTCTCAGGTCACGTTCTGTTCATATTAGCTTGGTAAAGCCAGGCTGCTGAGGAATAGAGAACTGGGGGAGCTAAACTTTTGCACTAGTGTCTACAAATGAGGCTGCGGGAGCAGCAGGTAGTAACTGCAAAGGGGAGTAGTGGGAGATACTGCCAGGGGCTCCTGCTAGGTGAGAAGCGGCAAGTCCACCCCTCCCCCCCAGTACCTAGGCCCTAAGTATGGACTGCAGGTCAGAGGCACCTCCTTACCTGGGGAAGGGTTGCAAATGTAGGGATCCGTGAAGAAGCCGATGACTGGCCGGTGGTGCAGCTGTGAGCTGGGAGGAAAGAAGGTCATGAACTATGGAGGGAGGGAGGGAGGGAGGGAGGCAAGGGGTGGAGACTAGGGATTGAGATCACCAGGGACCCACAAAGGAAAAGGTGAGTGGGAAGAAGGCTCAGGTGGCACCAATGGAAACCTGGCCCACTGGGACAAGCAAGGCAGGCCAGAGGTAGCAGGCCTGCCTCCTGGCACATGGCCACTAGGGGGCAGCAGGAGCCAGGTGCAGGCCAGGGCTTTGACTTGCCTGCTGTCGCCGGGCAGGAACTTCCCCAGGGTGCTGAAAAGAGAGACACTGTAAGCTACCTGGGGATGCCCAAGGGGAGCATGAGGAAGCGGTGGGGACACAGAAGCCCAGAACTTCACCTCCCGGGGGACCACTACATCTATTTGTAACAAGCCCAGTTCCAGAGGCTCCTGGGGTAACAAAAACTGTCAAAAAAAAAAAAAAAATCCCCTCCAGCTCAGTCAAGACAGCTGATGAGGGAGGTCATGTCTCAGAAGGAGGGAGAAGCAGGCCTAGGGCCTGGCACATGTGAGAAGGAAAAAGGCTTGGCCTCCAAAACCTTTCCTCATCTGCTTGCTCCTTAGAGCCCCTGGTCCCCCAATGCTCCCCCCCCC